CGATTGACCAAAAACTTCCTGATCGTTCGGGACCCTAAAGAGAAAACAGCGCTTATGGTCCAAACCTCACTATGGGCTCATCTGGGATTTGAACCCAGGACCTCTCGCACCCTAAGCAAGAATCATACCAACGAGCCTATCCTGGCAAGAGTCTACCTGAGAATAAAGAATAATTATAGCAACAACAAACGAAGGAACATAAACTAACATGGAAGTAATCAAACACCTCGAGACAATGTTAAAGGCAAACGATTGAAAGTTGGCCTCTGAATGGATTTAAAAATGGGGCTGAACCTAATATGTAGAGGGATCTTGGGAGGACAGCTGAAACAGTCAGATGTCCCTTAGATTTTAAACTAGTGTGGGCAGTGTGGGAGGGGAGAAGTTGGCTGCACGACCTGATTGATCCAAAGGTATCCTACGTAATACAGGAATCCACAAACATATGTACTGGGGTAACAAGACCAAGAAGGGCCTTTAAAACAAAAGCACAATCTCTAGGTTAATTCTTCAACTTCATTACGGCCAGTGCAAAGGTGCAAGCACAGAGGTGAGATGGCCTCTTTTCTTAAAGCCCGTTATAATAGCGGTCGCTCTGCAAAGGCTTCATTTGGAGCGATGGACTTCACCCCCCACGGTGTGAACAGTGTGAACAGACTGTGAATTGAAGCGACATTAAGGTATATCAAAAAGTGTATATTTTTTAAATGTGATTGTTGGCACATTTTACCAGTTTTTACCATACTTTCAAAACAAAAATTAAAATAGGAAAAATATGCAATATGAAAATAATTGAAGACAAAATGTGTTTTGTTGAGAAAAAACAAGATTTGTTTTTTAAACAGTCTTTTTCCAAAAGGTACATCTGGAAAAAGGGGGGGTCGTCTTATAATCAGGGTCATCGGCTAATACGGTATATAAAAAATCGTGATGAAGTTCATTCAGCATTCATTTTATGTCATAAGAATCAGTGCACTGTGTATATATATATGAGTTCATACGCAAAAGCCTCCAAGTGCCATTTGCCATCTGAAATTTTCTTCTAAAATGAGCATTTTTCTCAGGCTCCTACAGTTATGTTCAGTTATTTCACTTTAATGGCAGTGAAAAGAACCTATTCATTAACATTAAAGGGGTCATATGATGCGATTAAAATTTTTCCTTTCTCTTTGGAGTGTTGCAAGCTGATTGCGCATAGATAAGATCCCTGAAGTTGCAAAGACTAAAGTCTCAAAACCAAAGAGATATTCTTTATCAAAGTTAAGACTCTGCCACGCCCCCCTAAAATGGCTCGTTCTAACACGCCCCCACATATCTACCTCACTATGTGGAAATATTTGCATAATGCGCCCAACTTTTCACGCAAAGAAAGAAGGCGTGGTTTCAGTAACCGCAGTTAGTGTTGAAGCAGCATGTCAGGGAGACGCTGTGTGTTTCTAGGCGAAAGCAAAAGCACTTTATTTGGCCTTCCGGAAGTAGATGCATTTAGAAATCTTTAAGATGACTTACAACAGAACAGCAATGCATTTTATGGACGACCGTTTCGTGAACCTAGGAGAGGAGGTCATTCTGACTTTGCTATGACAATCTGGCGCTTCTGAATCAGCTACTGTTTTGTTATTAGTTTAAGTATTTGCTATTGACTGTTCAAATGCGGAGTTATGCGCATCGCGTGTGTGTGTGTGTGTGCGCGCGTGTTTGTGTGTGAGAGAGAGAGAGAGGGTAACATCACAGTGGAGTCCGCTGTCTTAACCGTGGCTTGTGTACTGCAAACACATACCAGCTTCATCACTGTGTCTGTCACGCGACTCTGTTCCCCTTTCGGGCTTGAACTGATGGTAAAACTAATGACATTATTTACTGTCTTTACATTTATTTTGAAAGATGAAGCCCGCGATTATGGTAAGGGGCGTTACATTTCCGACGAGTGCTTGCGGTGTTCGGCCAATCACAATGCACTGGGTCAGCTGGCCAATCAGAGCAGACTGCGCTTGTCGGAAGGAGGGACTTTGTAGAAAACGAAGCGTTTGAGAGAGGTGGGGCATAGAGGACCTACAATAATGTACAGTATTTGAAAAATAATGTGTTTTTTGAACATTAAAGCATGTCAACATATTCTGTTACACCAAATTCACAAAATAATGATCTTTAAAAAAGCATCATATGACCCCTTTAAATCCAGGACATTCTAAGTGGCTATTGGCCAGTTTTTCTCATCATCTGTTTCTCTGTCCTGTGGGGTTCCTCAAGGGTCCATTTTGGGGCCATTACTCTTTAATCTATTTTATATATTACTCTATTTTATGATTGTTCACTACAGCACTTTGGCCAGTGTACGCTGAATTTAAATGTGCTCTATAAATAAAATTTACTTACGTGATACATTACAATACATGTGAGACACGAGTACAACCTGTCCATCTAGCGCAGGGGTAGGCAAGTTCGGTCCTAGAGAGCCGCTGTCCTGCAGAGTTTAGCTCCAACCCTAATCAAACACACCTGAACAAGCTAATCAATGTTGTCAGGATTACTAACCCCTGATTTACACTGCACACGTCTGCGGCGCGTTACGGCTCAGAGGAGGTTTTGTTACGCCCTCCACGCGGTGCCAACTCACACCAGAAGCGCAGCGGTAGGATTCGCGAGACCACGCCATTGCCTGTCAGATGTTGTTTGGTTGCTCATTGTCCTTGTAAAAAGGATTTGTGATGTAACAACATGCGTTTTTGTATTTCGAGAATGAACCGCTCGTCGTCCATTTCTGGCCTCCTGCCAAGTGCCAAAGATATGTGACCGTGAAATGCGATCGGGAGTCTGCGCAGGGTGTTTATTTGGAAATTGACATGATTTTTTTACTTTTATTTTGCATTTGCTGTGCGGTTTGGACGCGGTGTCCGTCAAAAATAGACTAGGCGCCTATCTTTATCGAAGCGGCGCGGAGAGCCGCTTTTGAAACGTGCCACGGCGTGTCTGGTGTAAACACAAGCATTGACTAGAATGACTGCGATCAGTTCCGGTAGCCGCGTCGGAGCCGTAACGCGCCGCAGACGTGTGCAGTGTAAATTAGGGGTAAGGCTACAGGCAGGTGCTTTTTTCAGGGTGGGAGCTAAACTCTGCAGGACAGTGGCTCTCTAGGACCGAACTTGCCTACCCCTGATCTAGTCTATTCCTCTGACGTGGGGTCTTTGGATCTTGATATGGCATCCGTTGATTGCGCCAATCACGTTGTCTATGAATGAATGAATGATGCATTTATATAGCGCTTAATTGTGTATTGCTGTACACCCAAAGTGCTTTACAATCATGTGGGTGGGGTCTCTCCTCATCCAGCCCTTGTTGCCGCAATAGCTCCATATACTGCTCAAGCTGTGTTCTTGTAAATCGCAGGTGTTTTCGGAACATCTTTGGGCTCATGTCAAGAATTCGCATCCAGGCAGTGCCTGATTTCAGCACTGCTGGTAATGGCCTTTTATTTTCAAAGAAAGCTATTGTTGCTCTAAAAAGGGGGAAATAGATACAACCAGGGTGTGATTTGCCGGGGGGGGATGCGGGGGGATTTCCCCCCTCTGGTCTACGCATCCCTGCCTCTGCTGAATTATTTTTATCTCCGGTGGGGATAAAAAACATCCCTCGAACAGCGCCGAAGTCCCGATCTGAATCAAATGATTCACGATACGCGATCCGATTGGAGCGCTTCAAAAGAGTGAATCATTTTGCGACGCAGTGTTGCCAAGTCCGTGGTTTTCCCGCGGAATTGGGCTACTTTAACACTGTTGCCACGGGTTGTTTTTCATGTCCACGGGTTGAAGCGACTCCAATAACATGATTTTTATCCCCTGGAATGCGAATTTTAGCAGGGGAACCCCGCCAAAAAACTTGTATTTTACCCCCTGAACCTGCTGGGAGTTGTAGTTTTTGTTGTATGTTTTTTCCTGTTTTCTGCGCTCCTCCCTGTCCTCTACTGTACCGGCTGCTCCTTGTCAATGTCACACGAGTCTCTTCAGACCTTAGAGCTGTGCATGAACTTGAATCTTCTGATTGAATCACTGACTCACTTGATTCATTCAGAATCAAAGAATCACCACTGTGTAGATGCACTACATTTCTGCTGAGGCTTTGATTGGAACTACTTCGTTTGAGGAATTAAGCAAAACATAATATTGAGTCTGAAATTAGTTTATTGTACTTTTTTAATAAAATCAATATCACATGCAATCATTCACACTTCTTTTGTCTGCCTCCAGCGCTTCCATTCGTCTCCTGTTAAAGCCTACATTACTGCACACATTTCATTTCAATATTACTGCACGCATGAAAAAATAACCTATAAAACCCCATAATATCTCATAAGAGAAACCTGAAATGAACAAATAGAGTGGAAGACAGGAGAGTTTTGCTGAGTCACAATCATTTCATCTGATTTCTGTACGATTAAATATGAAATAATCACATTAAAATGGTGAAATCATTGCCATTTATCATTTCTTAACAATCTGAACAGTGCCGTTGAGTCACACTGTAAAACATTAACAATAAAGGTTTCCTTAACCCTTGTGCGGTCTAAGAATGTTACATTTTGAATGTTTAAAAGTCGTAGCTTCATCGAAATGGTATGAAACTTGGTGACTTTTATGGCACTTGGTATGTGAACACACAAAGAAATTGAGGGCATGATTCGAACAGGCTAAGTGCTCATAATAAAATAGTCACACTCATGGTCTTCGGTCAAAAAATAGGAAATGAATGGGAAATGGGCAAAAAAATACAGAAAATTTTTGTGTGTACAATCTACAAATCCCCCACGATGCAGAAAAAAATTGCACAGCAATGAAGGGGTGAAACTCTAAAACATCAAGAGTGCAAAATCAACTCGCACACACGCACACGTATACACACCCCCCCCCATGAACTGGTGTGCCAGTAACACAGCAACTATGTAAAGTAAAATAAATAATTCAACTACAATTTAGTAAAAAAGTGTACAGCATGGAAGGGGTTACACTCTAAAACATCAAGAGTGCAAAACAGACACATCCACTCACACACACACACACACACACAGAATTATACACACTCAAATGAATTGGTATGGCTATAGCCATATAGCCAAAACAAGTCAGAAAACTGAAATAAGAGGTTAAAATCAGATCAGACCCAGAAGGATTAAGCTCTGATAAAGCATTCCTGTTTATTTTTGTTACACAAAACATTAGAATTCTATAAAAATGTAACAAAATGCTTTCTGTGTTCAGGTTTGACTGTAGTAGTAATAATGCAAAAACTGACGCTTCAAATCAACATTTCAAACAACAACAAAATATAAACCTGGACAGAAAGTAGTCTTTGAGAATGCCTTAATTGTTTACTTTTATTAGGTTGTGGATTTCAATGTTTATTGTGTATAAAAACAATGAGGGAATTCACAAGCCTCTCTATAGATTCCTATACAGGCATCTAGTGGTTACACCATGAAATGACATGTTTTTCTTGCTTTGCTCTCACCAGGAGGTGCTGGATTTTAAAGGCCTAGTCTCTATTTTAATATCTATAGATTCCTATACAGGCATCTAGTGGTTACACCATGAAATTACATGTTTTTCTTGCTTTGCTCTCACCAGGAGGTGCTGGATTTTAAAGGCCTAGTCTCTATTTTAATACAAAGACCATGAGTGTGACTCCCAAATGAGGAGCACACAAGGGTTAAGAGAGACTGAGCCTCACACACAGTTTGTGTTTGTTGACATATTGCAGAATGTTGATTGTTGCATTTGTGTGTGTGTTGAAGTGTGGCCCTAATTAATATCACATGACCCGAGCAAGTCCATGGTTGACACCCTCTCATTAGCATGTTGTGCAGAGGAAAAATAAACGTGGAACTACATTCAGAAATAAATGAGTGATCAAAGGAAAATAAATGGGATGAGTTTAGCATTTCCTTAAAATAAATTGGTGGGCAAATAGAAAATGTTTATTTATTTGACTACTTAAATCACACGTTTAATTACTTATATATGTATTTAAACAAGAACACGTGTATTTATACACACATTTATTTATTTGTGTATTTATTCTCCTGTTAAAGCCTACATTACTGCACACATTTCATTTCAATATTACTGCACGCATGAAAAAATAACCTATAAAACCCCATAATATCTCATAAGAGAAACCTGAAATGAACAAATAGAGTGGAAGACAGGAGAGTTTTGCTGAGTCACAATCATTTCATCTGATTTCTGTACGATTAAATATGAAATAATCACATTAAAATGGTGAAATCATTGCCATTTATCATTTCTTAACAATCTGAACAGTGCCGTTGAGTCACACTGTAAAACATTAACAATAAAGGTTTCCTTAACCCTTGTGCGGTCTAAGAATGTTACATTTTGAATGTTTAAAAGTCGTAGCTTCATCGAAATGGTATGAAACTTGGTGACTTTTATGGCACTTGGTATGTGAACACACAAAGAAATTGAGGGCATGATTCGAACAGGCTAAGTGCTCATAATAAAATAGTCACACTCATGGTCTTCGGTCAAAAAGTAGGAAATGAATGGGAAATGGGCAAAAAAATACAGAAAATTTTTGTGTGTACAATCTACAAATCCCCCACGATGCAGAAAAAAATTGCACAGCAATGAAGGGGTGAAACTCTAAAACATCAAGAGTGCAAAATCAACTCGCACACACGCACACGTATACACACCCCCCCCCATGAACTGGTGTGCCAGTAACACAGCAACTATGTAAAGTAAAATAAATAATTCAACTACAATTTAGTAAAAAAGTGTACAGCATGGAAGGGGTTACACTCTAAAACATCAAGAGTGCAAAACAGACACATCCACTCACACACACACACACACACACACAGAATTATACACACTCAAATGAATTGGTATGGCTATAGCCATATAGCCAAAACAAGTCAGAAAACTGAAATAAGAGGTTAAAATCAGATCAGACCCAGAAGGATTAAGCTCTGATAAAGCATTCCTGTTTATTTTTGTTACACAAAACATTAGAATTCTATAAAAATGTAACAAAATGCTTTCTGTGTTCAGGTTTGACTGTAGTAGTAATAATGCAAAAACTGACGCTTCAAATCAACATTTCAAACAACAACAAAATATAAACCTGGACAGAAAGTAGTCTTTGAGAATGCCTTAATTGTTTACTTTTATTAGGTTGTGGATTTCAATGTTTATTGTGTATAAAAACAACGAGGGAATTCACAAGCCTCTCTATAGATTCCTATACAGGCATCTAGTGGTTACACCATGAAATTACATGTTTTTCTTGCTTTGCTCTCACCAGGAGGTGCTGGATTTTAAAGGCCTAGTCTCTATTTTAATACAAAGACCATGAGTGTGACTCCCAAATGAGGAGCGCACAAGGGTTAAGAGAGACTGAGCCTCACACACAGTTTGTGTTTGTTGACATATTGCAGAATGTTGATTGTTGCATTTGTGTGTGTGTTGAAGTGTGGCCCTAATTAATATCACATGACCCGAGCAAGTCCATGGTTGACACCCTCTCATTAGCATGTTGTGCAGAGGAAAAATAAACGTGGAACTACATTCAGAAATAAATGAGTGATCAAAGGAAAATAAATGGGATGAGTTTAGCATTTCCTTAAAATAAATTGGTGGGCAAATAGAAAATGTTTATTTATTTGACTACTTAAATCACACGTTTAATTACTTATATATGTATTTAAACAAGAAATGATGTATTTATACACACATTTATTTATTTATTTATTTGTGTATTTATTTATTTATTGTTTTTGCAGGTTTGGTCCTCCATATTTCACTGGCAGCTCCTTTCAGTACATCACTGGACAACATGCATTTGAATATATATTTCACCAAGAAGGGAAGGCTGACGTGTTTTATTATGTGTGGACTTCTATGCACTTTTAGAGAGTGGACAGGACTTTTATTTTGGTCTGCCGCTGTGGCGTCACAAGGCTGCGCCGCGCTCCTGCATCTGTTGTGATTCGACTGAGGAAAGGTGTGTGTTTTTAATCATTCAAAGTGTTTAAGTCGATGCAGACATGTGCATAACTTTTCTAAGCACTATAAAGCGGATGAAATAATCTTGAGTGTAATATTATAACGCTTTATGCCGCATTCATGAAGGATATTTCGCTCCCTCTATGGACACTCAGTTCATCATGAGCACGAATCGGTTCAGTGGCCAGCAGCGATGGAGAAACGGAGCCTTTTGAAACTCCGAATCAGTTGATTCGCCAAATGATTCACTTGAATCGCTTGCCAAATGATTCAGTTGACTCGTTCGAATCAAGTCAAGTCAAGTCTGCTTTATTGTCAATTCTTCCACATGTACAGCACATACACAGAGAATTGAAATTGCGTTACTCTCAGACCCTTGGTGCATACAGATAACACTAACAGTAGAACATAAATACAGATAGATACAGATTAAATACAAAATACAACTATAAAAATATACAAATAAGGTCACATTTTAAAAAATGTAAAAAAAAGCACAAGGCATATGGCAGATAGAGTGCAAACCAGTAAAGTAAACAACAGTGCAGATATATGATTTGTAGTGCAAAAGAGCTTATTCAGACTGAAGAGCTTATTCAGCGCTGTATAAAATCAATGTCAAATTTGCAAACTAAGTATTAAGTGTCTGTGTATTTTGCATTCTTTCATTCATTAATAGTGATAGTTTTCAGTGTTTTATTAGCTAATCAGGCCATTAACTCTCACTCTGACTGACTCCCTCACTAGTGTGCTGACTACTGAACTCGGGAGCTGATTGAGACACCCCAGAGATCTAGATTGGGTTTATTTTTCTTTCTGTTAATTATGCTCATCTTAAACACACAGATAAACTCAACTGAGACACACGTGCCACACTACTCTGACTGAGTTTTCAGTGTTTTCTCAACTGAGACGCACGTGCCCCACTACTCTGACTGACTCCCTCACTAGTGTGCTGACTACTGAACTCGGGAGCCGATTGAGACACCCCAGAGATCTAGATTGGGTTTATTTTTCTTTCTGTTAATTATTCTCATCTTAAACACATAGGCAAACTCTACTGAGACACACGTGCCACACTACTTTGACTGACTCCCTTACTAGTGTGCTGACTACTGAACTAGGGAGCTGATTGAGACACCCCAGATATCTAGATTGGGTTTACTTTATTTGTTCATTTTTCTGATCTTAAACAGGACAAAGTGTCCAAACACACAGAAAAACTCCTGCTGAAGCGACTGAGAGACGCACTATTATAAAGATGGAGTTTATTAAAGAGGAGAGTGAAGACCTGAAGATTGAAGAAGCATTCAGAGTCAAACATGAAGATACTGAGGAGCAAACAGGTTGGTTTCATTCTCAAAGCTGAACTCACTCATTTGATCATTACTAAAATGTCCAGCTCGACAGAAATGAGTGATATTTTTGAAGAATGTCATAAGAGTGTCGTAATGATAGCAGTTTTATTTGAATTCTGATTGGTTGATGACGCTCTAAGTAGGGATGGGCATTCCAAGCAAAAATAATATTCGAAAATCGCACCCCTCCCCCGCATGCACGCTCAAACACCCATAAATATATATAAAATATAATATCTTCTGTCGCAATTATAATGTTGAGTAATTATACTGTATATAAACTGCGGGCATCAGGGAGCCATTATTATTATGCGGGGCATTGAAATCGCTTTTGAATGCACGCTTGTTTTTTACTTTCACTTTCGAGATTCGCGATCACACGTACGGAGCAACACTCGACAGTACTTATCACACATTTTACAAGATTAGATGTCTGTCAGTGGTGCTCAGGATCGGCAAATCATTCGCCATCATCCTATCAGTCATCACTCCTTACTCCGTTTATGTGGTAAGTGAAATCTTATGTACTGTAATGTAACGGGCTACCGTTAGCAAGCGGGTAACCCATGTCCCTTTGGTGGCTCCGTAGAACGCGTTATTTGTTTTCCGCGCCTTTCTGAACACGGATTCAGCCACACCTCTAACCCAGTCGAGTTTGTGGTCCGCACAGAACTCCAATTTGACATCGTCCCAAGTTACTGTAAGCGTTATATGCTACACAAGCCTTATTTTATGCCACGCAAGTCTACAGTGTGCGCGTGAAACAATGTGTTCTTCTGTTGTCTTAGACAGCTTTTAGGTGCGTCCATAGCTCCACCTCCACGTCCATATCACTTCACCAAATGTTTTCAGTTATTTCAAAGGCCCTTACAGCCTAAAATAGCCAAAAAACTAAACAAAAACCACAATGATGCTAACCAAGCAAATGTAGTAAATAATGAGATAAAATTACCATAAGATAAAAATGTCAAACTATTTCCATGTTTTTGTCACAAAATTATGTACAGAAAGCACATACTCTCTCGCTTCCTCTCCTATACAAACACATACAGTACAGACACATGCTTGCACTCTCACAGAAATGTGTAGTCAGTGCTGCTCTGATGATTTTATGAATAAAGTAACTTAAAAACTACATTTCACAGAGAGGTGGTAACATTTTACTCCATTGTTGTATGTCTGTATTTATGTAGCACCGTGGTCCTGTGAGGCATGACATTTCGTTCCACTGTATGTCCCCACATGTAGCGGAATGAAAATAAAGCTCGACTTGACTTGCTGTTCTTGAAGCAGATAAACTTACAGGTTGGCACACATTGGGTGAGCATTACGCCAATCTGTTGCCGCTTATTTAGCCCTTGGTCAGACCTTGCTTTTCTACAGGCAGGAGTGCCCTTAGAGCAAGTGTTGAGGCATGTTGTTGTCACAATAGATGCCTCCAGCTTGGGCTGGGGTGCTGTATGTAACAGTCCTGCTGCGTTTGGCTCCTGTACAGGACCTCAACTGCAGTGGCATATCAATTGCCTCAAGTTGCTAGTGGTACTACTTGCCCTACTCCATTTCCAGCTGCTGCTTCAGGGCAAGACAACACATCATCCGGACAGACAACACTGTGATTGGTTGCATACATCAACCATTAAGGTGGTGTATGCTCACATCGCATTGATTTGGGGAAGCTCAGGTAGACCTGTTTGCCTCCTAAGAGTCCTCCCATTGTCAGCGGTTTTATTCTCTGACCGAGGCCCCCCTCAGCACGGATGCACTGGCACACAGCTGGCCTTGGGGTCTGTGTAAGTACAGATTCCCCCCAGTGAGCCCCTTCCTGGAGAATCCCCCTGAGAGGAAGGACCTTTTCTGCTGTTCAAGAGAGTTCCCCAGGCGGTGAACTCTGGCTGAGTTCCTCCAGCACCCTGCGTCGATCAAGCTGACACCAGGCTCAGTACTCATGTTGCATGCCAGTCCAGTCAGCCCTTGTACTGGGTTAGGTGCTGAATACATGAGATCCCCTTCTAGTAATCCTGTATGTGTATTTTCCCCTGGTCCATTCATCCCTTTTGGAAAACCTGTCTTTCCCTTGACAGAATTTCTTCTGTCCGACCTTGCAATGTTAGTTGTTCCATCTCTGTTTAGGAACTATCACAGTGGTTCTTCCATTCTTCCATATGTAGTACTGCCCTAGGTCAGTCCACATGTGCATCCTCCACGTCACTTCCCTATGGGTAGGATGTGGCTCCACAGTTTCCCCAACATGAAGTTGTCGTTACGGTGAAAGTTTTTATTAAAATAAATAAAAGATAAAGAAGGAACACCAAATTACCTTCCCCTCAGAAAGTCTTTTCAACCCCTCTAAGTAGGTGCGAAGGATTACGGCTTACTTAAGAGCATTGGGAAGGTTATGGCTTGCGACTGCATCTGTCTAGGCACGTTTATGCTTACCACCACCTGCATTACCAAATCTCGTAACATAGTTCAATGGTTGTGGTGCTTTCCATTGGGACCACAATACGTCTGTATCAATGTAGCGTTAAACATGACTGACTGAAAGGGAATGTCTCTGTTATGAATGTAACTCTCGTTGCCAAGTGAGACCCCAATACGTCAGTATCGACATAACGTCTCTGTTCCCTCCTTCAGGGAACATGGTTTACATATGTAACCAAGAAGTTCTTTGTAATAACTGCATTAGTCTGATATCATTGGTTCAGGCCTCAGTTACTAGCTTTAAAATGAGCAAAGATACATAAGATTTACAGTACACATCTTGAGATGAGATACGTAAGATGTTACTCCTACACAGTGTGTTTTAAGGACAAAAACCTGACAATCAGCTTTAAAATGCAACATCTGAACAAAGTCTTGAGGTGTGGTAACCATAGCATAGGTGTAATAATTGACTCCAACTTAATTCTTAAGTCTGATTTAATTAAGTTTAATTAACTGCAATGCTTTTTT